TGATGCAAGAGCCATGAATTGTTGGTGAAAAGTTCAGGTCGTCTAACTTTTTCACCCAGCCTTTTCAGCACTTCCAAATAGTCAACTTGGTTAACTGTTTGTCCAGTTGGTACAAATTCATAATGAATAATCCCTCTGATATCAAAAAAGGTTAGCAACACTATTTTGATTCTTGATTTGGACTGATGGAACCTTTTGGTTGTGGAGAATTGGCTGACTTCCATTGTGCACTCTGACGCTTTGTTTCAGGGTCCTATTGGTACACCCGTGTTTCATCACCAGTGATAACACGGCACAAAACATCATCTTGTCTCTCCAAAAGGTCTTCGCAAACTTCGACTCTCCTTTGCTTTTCTCATTGGTGAGATCTTTTGGAACCATTTTTGCACACACCTTTCTCATTTCAAGATTTTCAGTTAAGATTTTCCTAACTGCTTCTCTATCGATATTTACTTGGTCTGCTATGCTTCTCTCAGTTAGTCGATGATTTTGATGCACAATTTGACGAATTTTTGCAATGTTTTCGTTAGTTCTGCTCGTTACTGGCCGTCCTGACCTCTCTTCATCAGTGACGTGTTCTCTCCCCTCAGAAAAATGTTTAATCCATTTGTACACTGCCGTTTTCTTCATGGCATTACCCCCATAAACTTGGACTAACATATCCCTGATTTCACTTCCACTCTTGCCAAGTTTAACAGGAAATTTAATGTTTATTCATTGTTCTAATGCAAACTCAGACATTCTCACGATGGCACACAAGAACACGCAACAATAATAATGAACACCACTCAGCAAGACACTGCCACACATTAACACAAACACAGCTGTGAGACACTGATATACCAAGGCTATGAAACCTGACTGAGCTGTTTGGACAATGCTGCCAATGTAAGTGCATGATGGCAAGTTTGCGAACTTAATTATCATACCTCATATGTAGCATCTAAAACAAAAATATATAAATAATAATAAAAACCAAGCTCATAGATACAGAGAACTTACTGGTGGTTGCAAGGCGGGGGAGGGGGAAGGAGGGAGAGACAAAATTGGTGGAGGGGGTCAAAAGGTACAAACTTCCATTTATAAAATAAATGAGTCATGAGGATGTAATGTATAATATTGTGACTATGGTTAATAATACTGTATTGCATATTTGAAAGTTGCTAAGAGAGTAAGGTCCTCATCACAAGAAAAATATTTTGTAACTAGGTATGGTGTTGGATGTTAAGTAGACTTATTGTAGTGATCATTTCACAATATATACAAATATCAAATCATTATATTTATACATGTGAAACTACATGGTACATGTCAATTATACCTCAATAAAAAATTATACTTCAATTAAAAGAATCAAAAAAGATCTCTTTTGTCTGATTATACACATATATAATCATACACATAATAATATGATTATAATTATTTAAAACAAACCTATAGAAATGGAAGACTAGCCGGAAATACACCAAAGGGCTAACAGAGGATGAGATACATACATTTCCCCTTTCTGTTCTATAATTCAAAAAGTTTCATATAGGTAAAAACCTTAAATGAAAAAAAAGCTTTTAATATTTAAAAATGTTTAAAGCAAAGCAGATTCCCTCCTGACCTAGGTGTTTCTTCACATCACTTCATGTCGCAGTAGCCACACAGAGAAATGATACACTAAACAGTTATTGGGCATTTTTTTTCTATTTATTTACATATATTTATTGAGTACTATTTAAGTGCAGGGCACTGTCTTAGATATTGAGGATATGAGGTGAAATGGGATAATAGCTATAATACTGAAAAGTATTATAATGCAGAAAAAGTCTCTGCCCTCATGGAACTTACTCTCTAGTGGGGAACACAGCTAATAGATAAGTAAACAAACAAAAATGTAGACATTGATAGTGTGGTGCAAAGAATTAAAATACCTATTACATTATGGGTAATATAATAAAGAATAGCATTTTTAGATTGGGAAACCAGAGAAGTCTCAAAAAACATGAGATTGATTTGAGCTAATTTATAAGAATGAATAAGAATCATTGGGACGATAAAGAGAACCAAAGCCAAGAGCCCGAGCAAACATTAATGTGCCCAGTTTGAGGAACTGAAAGAGCCATTGTGTCTGGGAAGTACTGAGTGAGGGAGTGGCATGAGGTGAAGACACTGCCCCTTCCCTCAGGAACTTGTGGTGAAATAGACAGACACCACAGTTCCTGACACTTCTCTTTTGGCATAAACCTTCAGAAGACTTCAAATTCATAATATTCTGCAGAGCAGAAATGTCAGAACTTTTTAAAAAGAAGTCTCCATTTTTTTCCCTATATAGTTTCCTCACCAAAGAGATTGCATGGCAATGTTAGCCTCAGAGAGGAAGCAGATATTAATGCATATTTCATAGAACCAGACCATGCTAAGAAATCCAAATTGATCTCCAAAAATCAAGGCTTACTTATCTTTCCCAAACTCAGATTTCCCAGGTCCAGTTCAAAGTAGATAGCCATTGAGCCACTTAGGAAAATGTCCTCGGACTTTAGCAGAGATGATCTGAGGCGTTTCCTCCACCGTGGTTACTGGGGGAGCAATACATGGAAGACTCTCCCTCCTACTGAAGATCTCTTTTGTCTAATGAGTATTTTCCACGTATGTCTTCAAAACTGTGAAGAAGAAATCAAAAGCACAATTTTTTTTTTTACCAGTCTTCTAAAAACACTCCTATTTCTCCAATAATCTTGACCACTGCTCAGGGAAATGTAAACCTAACGCCAAATATAGTCTCCAAATTCCTCTCTCTCCTTCCTCATTTTCAAGACCATCAGCTCCTTGGTTCTCCATTTTTGAACAACAATCTTTTTTGTATTCTTGCAGTACAAATCTGCTTAAGCATTAACTCAGGACTTTAAATATTATTTCTCATGGTTGAACAATACTTGTCTTTTCACAAGATGGAATCTACACACTAACCCCGGATGTGCTAATAGCAACCTCATTGTTAAGATAAAAAATGACCACCATTCAGCATAATCATAACTACATTGACCTTAGTACTTTATATATACCAGAACGTGATCCCAAAAATTTTATAGCAACTTCTGGGGCATTTAGTAGGATCTACAATTTAATTTATTCTATTTTAATGGCATACACATAAATGTACATAACATTTTCTAGAAGGGTGTCAAAAGCTAAATTATAAAGTGATATCTGGTCTAAAATTACCTGAAGTTTAAAAGTCACAAGAAAAAAAAAATCATTATTTTTTATAATAAGGAGCTGAAAATTGTCCCTATTATTTCATGCTTATTTAATGTTCACAAGCAGTAATGCCTAACACAAAGGGTGGTCAAATATATAACTAACTACGTATTATAAAACACAGTTCTTTATTTTATTTCATAAAACTTTAACAGTGATATAGAAGTCTAGGCTAGAAGAACCAACACATAGGGGCACTATTCCTCTGAAGAAGTGAGATTTGCATGCTTTTAGCAAAATATTTTTCAGTATTATAGCTATTATCCCATTTCTTTCAAATCTTTCAAAAATTTAGTTTAAAGCATGAGACCTTTACTTTCCTATATGTACCAATTCAGTCAAACCCAATTATTTCCTGATTTCCCAAATAAAACATATTTACCCTGAATGCCCTCCCCACTCATTTTATCCCTAAGGAAATTTTATCTATTGTTCAAAGTCTATCTCAAGTACTACTTCCTTTAAAAAGCAGCATGGTGTAATGCTTCAGAGTGTGGGTCCAGGCTCTGCCAGGTTCCAGAATCCTTGCTTTCAAATCTTGGCCTACCATTTTCCAAATAAATAGCCTTGAGCAGGACAATCGACCTCTCCATGCTGTTCTCTCCTTTCTAAGATGGGGATAATAATAATTCTTATTACTTCTATGGCTATAAATAATAAATGAGTTAGGCTACGTAAAGTTTTTAGAAATTGTAAATATTCAAAAAATGTTAGCTATTATTTATGTAGCTCTTAATGATAAATTCAACAACACGTAATATCTTTTCTTTGATTTATTCATTCAACAGAGTGTTAGGCACTGCTAAGAGATAAAAAGTATTAGAACCCTAATGTAAAGGAACTCACTGCCTAGTAAACAGACATACAAACTGATCATTTACACTGTAATCAATGTTTTGTTTGAGCATTATTTCTTAAAGTATGGTCTGAGGACTATTTGAAACAGAAATACCTGGTGTTATTGCTGAAATGTAGATTCATGGACTCCACTCCAGACCTAATAAATCAATCTCTGGGGTAGGGCAAGCAGGTATTGTTAGGCATCCAACATTTTGAGAACCACAATATTAGAAATATAAAGAGGGTGCTTTGAAAACTCAGAGAAGGAAACCCTCGGGTATTTATCTTACTAGTTTTATTAATATTATGCATATTTGTCTTACTCTCCTCTTAGATTAAAATAAATTCCCTGAAGTCTGGTATTTTACTCTTAAGTAAAATTACATTGAATACCCTGACAGAGTATTTGTCTGAATAGAGTGTCATGAATTTAACACATTTTACATTTTGGAAGATATTAAATGTCTGTATGTTCTGTACTCAATAGCATGCTGTTGTCAGTTTATCACATACTCTTCAAATTTTCCGTAGTGCCTGATATTGTGGTCAACACCTCCTTAAACCCCTTCCTATTCTTGGTTTCCAAGAAATTGCACTTTTCTAACGTCCTGCTCCCTTTTTGTTTGCTTTATGCCAGCTTCACTACTTTTTAGCTGATACTTTGGGCAACTTACTAGACACTCTGAGCCTCAGATTTTCAATGATAAAATGGGGATAATGGAGATAAAAGGAAGATAACACCTCCAATTCAGGTCTGACCTTGGACCTTTACTCTTTAATCTCAGCATTCTTCCTTGATGATTTCATCTAGACTCTTAATTTCACCAATTATTTTTTGCAGGTGACTCAACATGTCAAGAGAGAATTCAAAAAAATTAAATTTTTTTTTTAAAAGAATTCATTTTCCCCCTTCCAAATCAATTTTCCCACCTGCTAAATCACCTAGCTTCAAAATCTCCGTGGGCCTTGAATTCGTCTTCTTCACTGCCCGGTCAGTAGCCACTAAGTAGTTAAATTTTGCTGACTACACTAACAGAGGTCTGGAAAGAGGAAGCTAAGGGGATGAGATAGGGTAGCCAGTATAAATTACTAGGACTCAGAAGTTTGCAAGGGTGCCTGGGGCAAATCCTTTGAAAAGATTTACCAGTCCAGCCCTCCTGGGCAACACCCTTCCCCACCTCCACCCCCCACACACACACACACACTCCAATTTTTCTTCTGGTTTGAACCTTTCCTCATCAACACTGATATTTCGACTTCTCTTGCCTACCAGTCCCTTTCTTTCTATTTTCCTAATTAAGGTCCTCACAACCCTTCAGATGGATATTATCACAGCCTCTTATTTAGATGGAGAAAGTAGATAGGGAAGCTATCTTCTAAACCTGAGCTTCCTAATTGGTGGGCCTCTTGATCCCCTTAGCCCTTGGGATGGCCAGAGGCCCCAAACAATTGCCTCCAGCTCTTAGCAGCTCACTGGGGCTCCAGATCCCATCCAATTTACTGTAGTGTTAGGTAAAAATATTATCATTTCCTATGTGTGTTATGGTGTGAAAAAAGTTGGGAAGCACTGCTACTAAATTAATCTAAGTACAGAGCTGATGTATTACATATTCCTCCATAAAACTTTCACAAATGACTGCTCGTTTTCTACCAAGTAAAGTCTAAGCTGCTTGTTTAGGCACTGCAGAAAGCACTGTAGTCTCACATCAACCTACCTGCCCAGTTCTGCCTCTCACTAATGCCTTCCACTCCAGCCCATCTGGACCACTCCCCCTTTTCTCTTATCACAAGTGTGCCCTTCTCCTCACCTAGGGTATTTCCCATCTTCAGGTGAAATTCATTTGTCTTACTCATCCTTCAAGATCCAGTGACCATGTCACCTGCTTTATAAACACAACATTCCTATTTCCTACAGCAAGAGCTGCTCTTCCTTAGTCTGAACTCACACAGCATCTGTTTGAGCTCTGATGGTGCTTACTGTATGTAGTCTGTCTTGTGCAATGAAGATGAATATACTTTATAACTTCTAACTACCAGTACTCAAGTACAGGGTCTTGCTTTTGCCTCCACCCCAGTACCTAACACATTGCCTTGCATTGAATTATTGAATTAAATAATTTTAAAGTTTATAGTGCATTTCTGATAACACCATATCAGCCAATTTCAAGAAATAAAATCATGTAACAATAACAGCTACAATAGAAAGCTACAAAATAAACAGAGGTTTTAAGGCAGTGCCCAGAATGCAAATAGAAGAACCAAACATTTACATTAGAATGTGTAACAGTGATTTTCAATTGAGAAAGGTCTAAATAGTGAATATTCTTCCTTATTGCAGATCCAAGAGAAACCCTGAAAACTGCCACTGTAAGTCATATAAAAATATACAAATGGAAAGGCTGTTTCCCTGATGACAAGTAAACAAATCCTGAGTCTGTCTTTAACTTCCAACTCTGCGGTGTTGCTGCCTGTACCTGCTCCCCGAAGAATGGAAAACTTCAGAAGCCCCCAGTATTCCGCAGGAAAGAGGCACAGAATTCTAAGTTCAGGATAAGGAGGAGGAAGGGGCAAATCCTCTACCTGAGATACAATGTACGATCACAGAAAGGAAACTCCTTGCAATGGTAAAAGACTGCTGACAAAACGGAGGAGTTGAAAAAATGTTTTTGTATCTAAGTGAAGCAGCAGCAGATCCCATGATCTCCAAATTGTCACACTCACTAGCAGAGTGAGTGAAACACTTCCTGGTGTCCCTGGCTGTCAGAATAGGAGTAAAATGGAGAGGTGGGGCTTCAAAGCGCCAGTGATTTCTTAGTCCCATTTCCATGACAAGTATTCGAACAACCTATTTATAGTAAGTAGCTGTTTGAAATAATGAAATTGGACCACCAATAGTGGTCTTCCTCCCTGAATCTTCTTTCAAATCTGCCATCACACCATAATTCAGGTGACCCATGAGATCAATATCGTTATGCCACTCCTCTCTGAAAGAGTCAGATCTCTTCTTTCCTTACAGAAAAAAGTCCAAATTTAATCTGTCAACAAAGGACTCTACATTCTGGCCACAAGCTACCTTTTATCCTTTGTCTCTCTGCCTATCATTTCATGCTTCCTTTTTTCTATTCATTTAATTTTACAAAACATTTTCTGACAACCTAGTATGAATAAGGCCCTGTGAAGTATACCCTTAAGAAACTTTTAACTATATATAATTTTATTTAGCAAACATTTTTGAGCATCAATGTATCAAATACTGTGTTACAGATTAATATAAAGAAACAAGATTCAGTCCTGCTCTCTAGCCGTTTAGATACATAATTCCCCTTTGTGAATTCTCAGTCCAGTAAAATGACTATAAACATGTGTTTTTGTTCATCCAGGCCTTTAAACAGACTTTTTCCTGCCTGAAATATCCTCCCTCCTTCCTTTTCAAAAACCCAATTCAAAATCTACCTCTGACCCCCTTGCCAAAGGCCTTCTAGTAACTTCCACTAGGACTTACTAGTGTCAGAGATACTTTTAACATTTATATATCATGTTTTCCCAGCAAAGGCATGTAAGTGTATTTCAAAAATGGAGTGGTTAAAATTGTCAGAAGGTAGAAGAGGATCTTAAACTATTCTGTATTCCCCACAGTACCTAGCAGAGTATGATGTACAAAGATATTCAATATATATCTTGATTTGTAATCAGTGAAAAATAATTTATAAATTTGTGAGATTTTATTGAAATAAGTGACGTTAAGAGAGTAAATTTAAAGGGCAATGGTATTCCTGCAACAGTGTTTATCTCCAGTGGTGAGATTATTATTGTTGTTTATGTGGATGGTACCAAAGACATGACAATTTGATTAAAATAAATAAATAAGCCTTAATTAGGCATTCAGAACTTTTACCCTATGAGGTATCTACCTATTCTAACCAGTAAACACATTGACTAAACAATCAGTTCCCTAGTCTTAATCATACCAAATGAAATGATCAAATCAATTTTCTGAAACTGCAGAGAAGAATCAGATGCTAAACAATGGTGACACCATCAAGAATAACATGTATATTATGAAATCCATTCTAAAACAATCTGTTAGCCTTAGCTTTCACATTAATAATAAATGCTTAGGAAAAATAACCCAAGAACATTTCTTGGTGATGGGCCAGTAGAGTCATGTTTGTATTTAGAAAGTTCAAGAATTCTATTAGGTTAACAGTATACTCAAAATCCAGGTGATATGGCATATCCACTCAAATATAGTCTTCTGGTTGCATTTACTATTTAAAAATCCCATTTCTAATAGTTATTTCATTAACCTCCAACATATCCTGTGCTATAAACCTAATAATTTCTCCACTTAATAACCAATATTTTTAGTAAATATTATTTTACAGTTTTCAATCCTTTCTTGTATGAATATTTGTTATGTGGTGTATATGACTTAAAATAGGAATTTGATTGAATGAGATTTTATTTTTATTATTTATTTTTATTTTTTAAAGATTTTACTGGGGAATTAGGGGGGAAACAGCATTGGGGAATCGAGGAAGAGGAACAGACAAGTTGCTGTCCTTTTGTTCTTCAGTCTAGTTGTGGAGGACATCACTTCACTGGCCCATGTTGGTATTGTGAGCATTGTGCTCTTTCCGGCTGAGGCAGATCGGTCACCGGCCATTGGACGGCAGCTCACGCCGGCTCATGGCAGCTTACACTGGCTCATGGCAGCAGCCAGCCACTCACAGTAGCTTACGGCAGCACACTGCAGCCCCACTGCAGCCGTCGCTGCCGCCTCACGGCAGCCCAGCTCCAGATTGAGCTGTTCACCATCTTAGCTGTAGAGGGCACAGCGTCACTGGCCCATGTGGGATCTGAACCAGCAGACCTGCTGCTCAGAGCTCGCACTCCCAAGCCAACTCTTAACCAACAAGCCACTCAGCCGGCCCAAATGAGATTTTAACATTTAGAAGGCAACAAGGCAAACATGCAGTCCATCTAAGGAATACCAAATTCCTTATAGTGTTGTTTATAAATATGTCCAATATGATTGCTTATATTGGCAAGATATACATATAATAGACTGAATTACCTGTATGACTAAAAAATGGGTGCTGTGATTTTTTTAATCGTTTTTGTTTTTTTTGTTTTTTTATTGGGGAATTGGGGGGATGGGAACAGTGCTGGGGAATTGGGGGCAGGGGAACAGACAAGTTGCTGTCCTTTTGTTCTTCAGTCTAGTTGTGGAGGGCATTGCTTCACTGGCCCAAGTTGGCACCATCATTGCGCTCTTCCCAGGCAAGGCAGATCAGTCGCCAGCTTCTGGACGGCTGCTCACTGCATCTGCTGGCCGCTCACACTGGCTGCTGGCTACACACAGTAGCCCATGGCAACCGACTGCCACAGAGGCTGCAGCCTACGCCGTCGCCGGCAACTCATGGCAGCCCAGCTCCAGGTTGAGCTGCTGTTCAGCATCTTAGCTGTGGAGGGCAGTGTCACTGGCCCTCATATGTGGGATCCGAACCGGGGCCCTCTGGCGTCCCAAGCCAGTTCTTAACCATCGCGCCACTCGGCCGGCCCGCTGTGATTTTTTAAAATCTGATTATCACATATAATTATATAACATTTTGAAAATTTTCAATAAAATAATAGCAGTACCTTTCATCAAAGGATTTTTTAAGCTATATAATTATTAGATATCCACTAGTCCAAATTCAATTTCTGATCTATAATAGTATTGAAATGAGTTACCAGGGTCACCTTCTTTAGCTAATCTCATTACTTCTGGACTGCTAATATTTATCCCATACCCCACAGCCGTTAAGGCTTCTGAATATAATTTATTAACTGAAACACTGATATGATTATATTTTAAAAAAAGGTCAACTCTTACAAGGTTCTGGTTAGTAATTTCTGGTTTTTATTTTACCACAAGAAAATAATTTTAAATGTATAACTTTTATTAGCCATGTATAACTGATAGTGAAAATAATCAAATGGTAATATTAAATAGCAACAGCACAGTTACAGTTTATTACATGTTGAGAAACTGGACAAATCACCTTTAAGTTTTAAATTTTTTTATAATACTGACCATGAAAAACATTTTCAGATTATCTCTAAAGCTATCAGCAATTTAAACAAAATATTCTAAAAGAAAAAGTGCAATATTGTTAAACATTATCAAATTAACTAATTGAACCCTCTTTTAGAAGTTGAAGAAAGGCTAGATTTAGGGGAAAAAAATGAATCTATATGTAACTTAAGTAATTAACACTTTTATAAAATCTGCCAAATAGTTGACCCTCAAAAGAAAAGCTACAAACTTCATATTAACATCCGATTTAAAGCCCCTTTTAAATCTAGAAAAGAAATTCAAGGAGTTTCCCCTTCTTGTGTTTAAGGTATACATTTTCTTCAACAACTAGAAAGCTTTCAGAGCATAAATGTCATTCTTTCACTACAACAATGGGTTTAAATTCTCAGCTTATTTTAAGTATAAAATTTTATCTGTGCAGTTTGTTTGCAATTAGTGTAAACCTCTGTCTCAGCAGCTCTCTTTTTTGTATTAGAAAGTTTTCAATAGTATTGGCTTCTTTGAAGAGTCCATCTAGCTCGTCAATATAAGATGCATCTACTGCTGCTCTCTCACTAAAGGGGGGAAAAAGTTTTACATTAAACTAAATAGTTACAACACAACTATAAATAGTCTAAACACACTATCATAGTGATGTTCTTTATTGTGCTGTGTTTGTTAGCTATTTCATTTAAATAGCTTTGTACATCAGAAAGCCTCAGTAATTTCCACTCTTCAACAAAAGTTAAATTAATTCCACAAACATTTTTGATTACTCAAAGTCTCCTGACACAGATTATGTATCATATAGATTATAATTCTAATATTAAACTATATACAGTCACGCTTTACTTAATGATGGGGATATGTTGCGATTTTGCCATTTTGTGAACATCACAGAGTGCACTTACACAAACCTAGATGGTACAGCCCACTACACACCCAAGCTATAGTGTATAGTCTATAGCAGCGGTTCTCAACCTTTCACAGGAGTCGCCTAAGACCATCGGAAAACACATATTTTCGATGGTCTTAGGAACCGAGACACCGCTCCTCTATCCGACTCCAGGCCCACATGCAGATACACCCACATACGAGTACCTGGCGACTCCTGTGAAAGGGTCATTCGGCCCCCAAAGGGGTCGCGACCCACAGGTTGAGAACTGCTGGTCTATAGCTTCTAGGCTACAAACCTGTACAGCATGTTATTGTCCTGAATACTGAAGGCAATTGTAACAAAAAGGTAAGCATTTATCTAAACAGAGAAATGATAAAATACAGTGTAAAATATTAGAAAATGGTACACCTGTATAGGGCACTTACCATGAATGGAGCTTACAGAACTGGAAGTTGCTCTGGGTGAGTGGTGAGTGAAAATGAAGGCCTAGGACTTTACTGTACACTGCTGTAGGCTTTATAAAACTGTCCCACAAGCCCTCCCCCTGCTTCCTGATAGTATCAGAAATAGAACATCGAAGCTGTCAACGCTGCTCCATGAGCAGGGATGTGATTTAGGCTGATTGGAAATATGGAGGAGAAACTGGCTGGGTAAGGCATAGATCACCATAAAAGTGACTGTCAGGATAGAGTGAAAGGTGGCTTGAGGATCAGTAGGAATAAGAAGTCAAGATGGAGAGGAAAAGGAAAATCGGGGATTGTCATGGCAATGTGGCTTGCCCATTGTATGTTGGAAGAGTAGGCATATTAAGGAACTTTGTGTATTAAAAAAAAAAAAAGAGGGTATTTAACATGGAAAGGGTATAGAACTGAGGACTCAATATTTCGATTTTGGAAATTTCTTTTTGGTTCCATTGACTTTATCTGGCACAAAGGGCTCTCTCCGACAGCCCTGAATTGATGGAAGAAATAAAACTTATCTGTTCTTTACATCATTACAACCTGAAAATATTTCCAAAGTAGAGGAACAGGCTGGCTCCACACTACCACAGAAAGATTTTACTAAAGCTGCAGTGGAACTTAATACTTGTTAAGGTAGCACTTGCAGAATTGTGTCCTTGTACAGGATATCAGGTCCTCAACAAAGAATTCTGAAGGCCATCAACCTAGATCACGTAAGGCCTCTGAATACATACTGCCTGGGGAACAGGCTTCCTCTGTGCTGAAACAGATCAGTAGCTGACTGATTGGGATGTAATTAGTGCGCTCAAAATTGAGGGGCCATGGGTGACAGAGCATCTATTGCCAAGCCCCCCCCCCCAGATACTACTCCCATTAGAGAAAAAAAATTCCTCTAGAACCACAAATCCTTCCATTTTTTACAGGAAATTCAGCTCCATTATAATCCTATGGGACCACCATCAAATCTGCGGTCTGTTGACTGAAACTTCATTATATGTGGTGCACGACTCTACATTATTTTAACAGCCACACAAACCATTATTCAAAGAGAATGACTGTCTAATACTTTAAAAAAGCACCTTATAAAACATGATAATCTCAGGCCAATAAAATATTTAAATTCAGTCTTCAAATATATACAGATATTTAAATATTTCATAAATATATTTGTTTTGTCTTTAATATTACTCTATTATTAACTTCACCAGATGGTATTTTTCTCAGAGGATTGTTTCATAAAATTTTAAATGTTATATTATCTAATTAGAGACCAAAATATGTCCAGCCTAGTACTAGTTTTGCTAATAGCAAAACAAAAGATGTTTAATGGAAAAGTTGGAGTTATTCTTTGAGAATAACCAGCCAATCTATTTTAAGAAATTGAGGTAGAATAAAAAAAAATTCCAAAATTATAATTACTGGATAGGTTCCACAGCCACTGAACTAAAGTTAGCATCATGGAATTTCCAGAAGAAAAGTTCTATTTCTAAGATAAAGACCCAAGAGAATATACTATAAGTACTTACCTTAAGATCTTTGCATATGAAGACATCATTAGATTAATGTCCTTGCTCATAGCTATTAAAAAAAATCAGAGTTAAGTTGTGAAATATAACAAACCTTCTTTATTACAAAATAAATGTATAGAAATATAAGCAAGCATTTTATATACCACCATTCAAATCTTTCTCCAGGGCTTCATCTTTATAAAATAGTCCAGAGCTTTCAGAGAAAGAGGAATCTGATTTTCCAAGAGAGGACAGTTGTGGACTATCTGGCATTTGAGGCTAATATAAGAAAGTAAACAGGTAAACAGTCAACAAGATCCTTAGGACATATACATTCTGTTAAAAACAAAAAAAGCAAACATGCTAGATATTATATGTTCCTGTGTCCTAGTCATTTGAAATTTTATTACCAAGTAAACTTTTAGTCCCAACAAGCACCCTGTTCAATATACTAAATTTTATTCTGATTTTTTTTATTAGACTTTGAATATGGTATTAACCACCAATGAAAAAGTTTCCTGTATCTTGAACCAGTAGATATATCCACAGCAATATAGCAAAACTTTCATTCAGACAATAGCCAAATGCTTGAAAATTTTTGCAAGATAACGTCATTTTTAAGTGAGCAAATAAAGTCCCAAATGCAAACAGACCAATTGGTGTGGATAGTGAAGAAGGTCAGGATACAGTGTTCTTTAAAAAAATCAGCAACTCCAGTACCTAAGAATCCTATTTATTATACCAAAATAATTAAAGTCCTAGATATCATAAAGATATGAACCCACTACTGTCTCTAGATCACAAATTACAACAAAGAAACCTCCCAAATCTTTCTTGGAGGCTTTCTCATATGCTTAGTAAAAAAGCTGCCGGAGTTAACATAGCTCCTGCTGGGCCAATCCCAGCTCTAGGAATATAAAAACTTAAATTCCATTTATCAGTAGAACTTGCTTGAATGGAAGAAATTTGAGAAGTGTATAAAATAAAAGATTAAGGCTCCAGTAGCAATAGTGATTTACCTCCAACTCTCGTGATCTCTTGCAATTTCTAGTATCAGGTTTTATAAGGTGATTTTCCATCATATTCTAGAGGCAAGCACTGCAAAATTTAGAGTAATGAGAAATTTAAGTAAAAACTCCATGCTACAAATCTCTTAAATCCTTCCCTTTCCATTCCTACTGTCACTGTTAATTCCAGCTTTCATTATCTGTCACTTACCTAAACTACTCAATTTCTTCCTTCTCTATTTCATCCCATCAACTGCTATTCGGGTAGTCTTTCAAAACTCTAATAACCATATTCACTTAATTTTTCAAAACCCTAAGTACTGCATTCCCTTATCTCAAAATTTTTCCCTTTCTCATTGTTCCAGAATAAGTTCATCTATCCAAAGTCCTGCATCACCTGGAGCCAACCTACCATCCCCATGATTTTCATCTATTCCCTTTACAAACAGTAAGCCAAATTAGTCTCTGGCACTTCTGCCTTGTTTCAGGATTCACTTAAGATTCTTCTACCTTCACAATATCTTAATGTTGAAATTGACCTTAATAGTTCATCTAAACCAATTTCATATTTTACAGACGTGAAAATAGGGGCAGAGATAGTCGACCAAGTTCAAACAAGCAAAACTGGATCAGGTTAGAACCAAGATGTCTTCTAGCCTGAGGTTACTTCCACTGTAGTATCTTACATTCATATAGCATCAAATTTTACTTTTAAATTACTTTCCTGTAAGTTCTAATGGCAATTTACCTAGGAGTCTGAAAGATTAAATTTCAAGTTAAAGAAAACATGTTGAAACCTAGAATGGTATAGTCTCTACATCTTAAAAGACAAGGAGTCCTGTCTACACTCACGTTTTCAATTTACTTGGCTTGTATTTTCAGAAACTATGCTAACCTGGATAATTGTAATTAATCTGTTTGATTAGTCATATATAATATTCATATATATATATATATATATATATATATATATATGACAAAGACAGCAACAATAAATATTTAGTAAATTCTGTATAATGCTTCTACATTCCTGTCAGTACCTTTCTAGTACATCAGTTTAAAGGCCATAAATGGTAATATGCAGAAAACACTACACATGCACTGTAATGCTCGCTTTGCCTTGGGAAGTTTGAAAATGTTTCAGAAAAGCCAGCAGGAGAGCTGATGTCTTCTCCCTTTTTCTCTTCTCTCCTGAGTAATTGCATGTGCACGTACGTCAAATTAAAACTTTTAAAATTAGATAATTCTGTTTCCGTAAAAAAGTAACTTTTCTGTCACCAACTTAGGGCCTCAGAAGAATCCTGATCAAGAGACTGGGCCTTGTCCTATGACAAACACCATTCACAGCCACTTGACCCCAGCTATGCAACCTAAGGCGTTGGTGACCTAGTCATTACCAAGCACCACCCTTTTGCCTTATACAACGTTTTTTCTTCTAGTCTCCTCTGTCTCAACACCGTCTCAGTCCCGGCCATGTCACCCATCTTGTTTCTCACTTTCCACCTCCGTCTCGTTTCCTCCCTACTTGTGATTCAGTCCCTCTAGAAACCCTGAGGAAGAATGCATCCTCTCTCACTGCCTTCTTCCACATTCTCACAGAGGAACACCCCTCGAGCCCAACCCCAACACCAGTCTACTACACAGTGGTGTAGTCGGCACCTTCCTCTTCAGTGAAAGCGCTGGAATGAAGAGGGCGGGCGAGCACGAGTGCGCAGACTCCGCGTGGGACGGCGGACGGCGTCAGCGCGCACTGATCACGTAACGCAACTGCGCAGCCTCCCAGAGCCCGCCCGCTTGTTGGGCCTGGGATGCTTCCGAGCTGCTAGGAGAGGCGGCTGTCTGGTCTGCTTTCTTTCTCATCTTCCCTTCGACTTGGAATCTGTGTGAAACAAAAATCTCTCCCCGCCACCCAGTGTGTGTTTGGGGAAGAAGGGGAAAATCTGAGATGGGTCTCTAAAAAGAACACGGAAGACTTGCCGGAGCAAGGCCAAACTGTGTCCCAGCTGCTTGGAATCTCAGTAGAGGAACACAGAATAGTACGCCCACCATCACTTTCCAGTCAAGTTACATCCTATTCCACATGGTTTGTGTGAAGGAAGAGTTTATACCTGAGTTTCCCTGGCCTGCAAGCAAGATTTCTAAATAAGAGCCTCCATTCCTTATCCTCTTTTTCTTTGTTGCACACCCTTTTAAGATTTCTGTCTGGGTGTATCAACAAGTTTAGTCTTAATTGGCAGCTTTAGACTTAATGGACAGCTTTCAAAAACTATTTTGTAACATTCATGACCCACATACTTGAAGCTTAGCCTCACTGGGTTCTTTAAATAATATGGTGACTTTGACCTGCCTAATTAGCTGATATGGAAGAAAAAAAGGATATCAGCTCATAAAACAAAGGTCAAAAACACCTCCCCTCCCATAAATTCCAAGTACACAATCTTTTTTTTTTTTTTTAAGATTTTTATTGGGGAATTGGGGGGAGGGGAACAGTGCTGGGGAATTGGGGGAAGGGGAACAGACAAGTTGCTGTCGTTTTTGTTCTTCAGTCTAGTTG